AATCCTACCACAGAAGGGTTTGCACAGCACCGTGTCTGTTTACTACAAACCACCACACTGCGGGTTCATGAGGTTTACAAGTTTCCTCTAAGGTTTACTCTGACCCAGGTCATCTGTGGGGGTTACAGACTGAACTCTGGAAGCCTGCATCGTCTCTGCTCTGTAAATAATTTACTCCGTACTTACACTTTAAAGAGAAAAACAAAGCCTGGCCTTCACCTTATTGATCAGTCATTGTATCAGAGAAGACAAACATGCACAAGTAAGGCAGAGGGCTGAGGTTTTATAAAAATATGGTTCAACATAAAAGACAAAAGTTACAGTACACACATGAAAACAACGTCACAAGTGATGTTGGAATGGAGGAGTTTTATTGGTCTGATTATGTGCTACAATAACACACGGATTTCACATTCCAGCAATCAATTAACATAATTAATCTCAATGTGTGTGTCAAATATCACACAAATGATTAACTAAAGCAGACCTATTATATCTTTCCACATTCATTTTCTCATATATGTGCTGTAATAGTTTAGGTTATTCATTCTAACCCACCTGCTGTTCAAATCTTGTGTTTGTGAGGGACAGCCAATTAGTTGGCTTGAAATGAGGAGTTAAAAGTGGTCGAATCAGTAACGAGATGGAAATTAGCATAACAGGTCCACTTTAAGCAAAATGCTCTCATATCAAATGTCTTAAATATTGTTTCTTAATAAAATAAAATACCATAAACTTCAGTACACCTTTAAATTGGAGATGCTTGAATATCACACTTCATTCACTCGTCACACACTTATCTGTATGTAAACACTTATATATATATATATATATATATTTTGCAACAGATAAACACCACACTGTATTGTAGAAAGCTTGACATTTAAACTCTTTGTTTGATTAGACCAGCAAATCAAAGAAGCCGAGGATACAATCTCGGTGCAAGAACGAGTTGAAATATAAACTATTTTTTTTACTTTCAACAAACATGTTTGTAGCATCTGGATGAGGTTTCCCGTACAGCTTTTTTATACAAACACATTGATGAAAAGGCTATCACATATTATTAGCCTGTTATTTTTGTTTTTGGCTCTGTGTATGTGTCAGATGCGCGTGGTCAGAGCAAAAAGTTTTTGGTTAGAATGAAGTCACATGGTATGTAGATTAATAGCAGATAAAAGCAAACCTTATCACAGTGCAAGTCAAAATACTTTCTTAAATTTATTCTTAAATCTAAATCAAGCCTAACTCCTTAAATTTAGACTTGTGTAATTAGTGAATTTGTTTATACTCGTTTCACTTCGGCTGTGTTTGTATTATATTGCTCTTATTTGTCTCACATTTAAGGTGAGGATTTTGATATTGTCTGCACTTATACACAATGTTCTCTTCCACTGAAGTGTTTTTGAAGATACACAGGAGGTAAAATGAGTTTCACTCGTATAAAATGCTTTCTGTGCACAAGACCAAACAAAGTCTTATTGTTAGGCTCCAATAATAATTGACAAGCTTGTAAATCCAACCCAAACACAGGTCTGGAAATAATTAAGGTTGTCTGGCTTCAAAGTAAACGCTGGATGTCACAGATTCATCAGACCATAATCTAGTAATGCAGGAGCAATGTTGAAAAAATGTTTGTACTTTTACTCATCATTTTAGATGAATTCCACTGCAGGTTCTTTATTAACTAATACCCAATCAATAGAAAGAAAACGGTAGTGTCAGCCTTATCAGAGCATCAAAGTTCAACAGATTTAATAGCAGAAGAAGCTGGAATGCAACAAGATTCGTGTAACAACAAGACCCAGTGCGTCAGATTAAGCTCTTAGCTTGAGCTAATGAGCACTCGTGATCCGAGAACCCAGATCCACTCTGGAATGCATCTCATCAATCCGTACTGCAAAGACAAAAAGAGAAGAGAACAGGATATGGAAAAAGTATTTAATGTTTTCAATTCTGGTTTCACAAAAGCTTTAACAGTATCAGAGATCATCTCACTCAGAGTAATATACTTCACATTTTTTACATTTTCTGTGATGCTGTCAAAATAAAAACTGATGACATGACTTCATTTCAACTGACCTGCAGGGTATGAGGCCAATATCCTGTGGTCCTGTTTGAGACTCCCAGAGTGGAGATGGCATGGCGAGCATAAACTTCTGGCTTTGGTACAAACCAGCCTTCTCTTCGTGATGGTGATGAAGATGATGATGATGGCTGCTGCTCACTTGAGGCTATCTAAATGGACATGGACAAAGATGAAGTTAAGCAGCTTGATTTCATCGATCTCCCTAGTTTGATAGCCAATTTCATACATGATGTGCAAACACGACAAGCCACAAATTAGCATCTATCAGAGTAATAGCAGTGGGGATCGTTGATCCAGCCAGACTTTTGCTGCCAGATTTCAGGTCTTACAGAACAGCTACTGTTAAGATATTTACCTGGAAGGGGAGCAGACTCTGAATGAATATGCCTTTGCTGCTGTACTCAAGGTGAAGAGCTCTTGACAAATGATCCAGGTATCCCTGAAATGTCAGAGGAAAGGTTGCTGTTGTCAGGAAAAAATAATGTTGTTGTGACTGGGACTATAGCCAGCACACAGAAGAAATGGAGATGACAGTTCAAAAACCTACATCATTTACTTTAAAGAGCGGCTTACTCTGCTGATTCTCAAACCTTTTTCTGGCTGACACTACTTTACATACTAAAAAAAAGTTACATTTTTAATCAATCATTAACAAACAATCATGGTTCAAAACTGAAAACAGAAGACTAAAACTTATTTTGCATAAATCCTGTTTGTTCAGCTTAGTTTTACAACATATTTTCCACCAGCAGTGGATCTACTTGCCACAAATCAAGAGCTAATACTTTAAGGGGATAGTAGTAACAACAGATCTTCAAATTGATCAGAGACATCAATGTGCTCTTCATCATATTACAAAGGATCTATACAGGCTATAGATATGTTTTACTGGCACGTCTCCATGCCTGCAGACTGTAACAGTGATTTGTCTCACAGTGGAGGCGGTGAGCGTCACTCTTCCAAGAAGAGGTCTGCAGCAGGCACCCGATGATATATTGACCACGGCACCTCTGCTGCGATCCACCATCCCCGGCAGAACCAATCGGGTCATCAGAGTAGTGACTGCAATGTTCCTGTTCACCAAATCCAAGAGGTGCTGTTCGGGCACTTCAATCAGGCTCTGGGGTGAAGCCAAAGATTCATCGACACAGTTTACCAGGAAGCCAATATCTTTACCCCTCAATGCTTCTTTGATGGGCTTGCAGGCCACTTGGTCCAGGGAGAAGTCAGCTGAGACCACAACAGTTTCCACTCCATAATTCTGGGAGAGGTATGCACTCATGTCTCTAACAGAGGAGGGGTCCCGAGTGACAAAGATGATGCTGATGGCATGCCTGGCCAGCTCCTCTGCGTATGCTTTGGCTACAGGCTCCGATGCACCTGACAAGAGAGATGACAAAGTCATGCCAGAGAGAACAAAAAAGTTTGCAGCAACATTATAGACATTGAACCAGTTACAGTGCTGTGAAAAAGGATTTGTCCCCTTCCTGATTACTAAGCTTTTTGCATATGTTGTCACATTTAAATGTTTCATCATCATACAAATTTTAATATTAGAGAAAGATAACCAAAGTAAATTTAAAATGCAGCCTTTAAAAGATGATTTAGGACATTCTGCTTACTCTATTATGTTCTCTACCAGAAAATCTTGATGTAAAATATCTGGTCATCAGTTCGTACCCTGAAGCTCAAGCACACTTGGGTTATACAGCAGAACAATGATCCAAAACACCAGCAAGTCCACCCCATAAAGGTTTTGAAAGGGCCTAGTCAAAGTCTGGATTTAAATGCTTTGGCGTGACCTTAAACAGGCCGCTCATGCTGGAAAACTCTCCACTGTGGCTGAATTCATACAATTCTGCAACGAAGAGTGACCCAAAATTCCTCCAAAGTGATGTGAAAGACTCATTGCCAGTTATCACTGGTAGATGGTACTTCTTGCTGTTAAGGGTGGCACAACCAGTTATTGGGTTTAAGGGCCAATTTTCTTTTTCACAAAACGCAAGGCAGGTTTGGATAGCTTGTCTCCCATTCATACATGCAACCATGATTTAAAAACTGCATTCTGTATATACTCCCGTTGACTTTGGCTATTGTTAATGAAATAGATTCATGAAATATGAATTTAATGAAATAGAGTTTACTTCAATTATGATATAACAGAAATTAACTCTGCTGCGGCCCATCCTTACCATAAACGACAGCCCAGTCACCATATCTCTGGGTCAGCTTCTTACTTGGGATCAATCTGGGCAGAAAATGCACCCTAACCAACGTGCAGCAGTCGCTCAGCAGGATCACTGCCCTGCTGGCCGTGTACAGAGCACCGACCAGCGCCAGGGTTTCAAAGTAAGAGTTGCACGTACGAGAAATTTCTCTGTACAAAAACTGAAAGCTGTCAACCGCCGCCATATCCCACGCTGGAGTTGATGATATAATTTGCTAACTAAAGCTTATTCGGTGATATAACGCTGGGACCTGTACGTGAATAGGTTAACGAATACTTCAGACGTGTAAATGGAAGCTACAACTAACCCCACATAGTAAAATTACTAATAAAAGCTGTAAGAATTCTCGTTTAAGAAGCAGGTATGTCTCCTCTGCTACACCCGGTGAAAACAGCAAAACATTGGGTCACGTGACAGTGTAGAACAGCAGTGCTGCATTCAAAACCGTAACAAAAAATCCGTCTAAATACTTTTACCTCATGTTGAATGATTTTTAAATATATTCAATAAGGTTGAAATATTCTTTAATTATCACATGACAAACAATAAAAGCAAGTATAAACTCTAAAATTAATCCAAAGACATCCTAAATATCCAGATTTTTATTAGGAAAGCCAAATTCCGATTATCGTGGAGATACCATATGGGGGTCTCCCACAATGCACCACAGTTAACACTGGACGTTTCCATAGAGATACAGTTGTGGATAGCAAAGCGCTAGCTCGATGAAGCTCTTTTATATGCACAAAGACAAGGTGACTGATTTAAAAAGCTCTGTGCGTGATGGTTTCCGTTTGCCTTCGTTGCTTTTTAGTCCAGCTTCCGTTTTAGTTTAATTTTGGCACTTTTGTTTTTCAGCTAGCAGTGTTTCAATAATGGCAGCGTCAAGCTAACAAGAGAAGGGACACATTCATTGTTGTTAGCAGCAGAATTAAGCCTTTAGATTGCAGGACAAAATCAAACTGATTGTACCGTTATTTTTACATTTAATCACACATTTACGTGGTGTACACTGTCATCATTGCTGTGATCGCCTGTTTTTCCAGATAGGTAGCCAATTTTCAAACCTGTTGGTGATGAAATTTTTTCCTCCTCACTAAATGAAACCGAGAAGGGGATAATGATAAAGGACGTACGTTTTAGTAACATGCTGGAGGTAGAAATATACACATGAGCACGTTTTGGTTCGTCTGTTGTTAAGTAACTTAATCTGTTATCTTACAGAGTATTAGTTTAGATAGTTTCCTGTTATTTTTCGCCATTGGATGAGCAAATGTGTATTTTATGCTTTAGTGAATGGAAAGAAAAATGCCTCCTTTAGTCTCTTAGAAATCCCTCTGAATTAAAACCTTTTGTTTTTGACACAGCAGTAGCAGAGATGTCTGAGTTTGCTGAGGATGAGGTGGAGTTGCAGTCCTTGGTTAAGCAGTTTCTGAGAAGCATCAGTGACAAGATCTCTAGTGCTCCTTCACCTGAATGTGCTGAAGAGATCCTTCTTCACCTAGAGGAGACTGACAAGAACTTTCACAAGTGAGTCCATCGTCAAACACCATAGCATTAAATGTAATGACTGGATCTAATAAAATGGGCTTTGTTATGTTTCTATGGGTATGTGTTCTTTGTGTTGTTTTTAGTATATATTTACAGTATAGGTGTGACTTGGTTACTTCTCTTCTTACAGTTATGAGTTTGTGAAGTACCTCCGTCAATATGTGGAGAACGCTTTAGGATCTGTGGTTGAAGAGGAAACAAACAACTTGACCAGAGAAGATCGACAACATGCAATTGGCTCGGGACACGACACTCTGATTCACGCAGTGACACAAAGGACTAGATACTCAGCTGAGTGAGTGTCTCTGAATATCTTTAGCATCTTTTTCTATTGGCCCATATTCATCATGTTTATTGTGTTTCAAACCTACTTCATTGACCCTCCATACTTTCGGATATACTGGAAAACTCCAGAACTCAACCTTCTTACTAAAAAGAATTTCAAATGCAAAACTTTGTTTTTTCTTTTGGCTGCACCTTTTAGGGTCGCCACAGAAAATCTGCCTCCATCTCACCGTATCACTTCCCTGATACCAGCTATCTACAGGGAGTGCAGAATTATTAGGCAAATGAGTATTTTGTCCACATCATCCTCTTCATGCATGTTGTCTTACTCCAAGCTGTATAGGCTCGAAAGCCTACTACCAATTAAGCATATTAGGTGATGTGCATCTCTGTAATGAGAAGGGGTGTGGTCTAATGACATCAACACCCTATATCAGGGGTGCATAATTATTAGGCAACGTCCTTTCCTTTGGCAAAATGGGTCAAAAGAAGGACTTGACAGGCTCAGAAAAGTCAAAAATAGTGATATATCTTGCAGAGGGATGCAGCAGTCTCAAAATTACAAAGCTTCTGAAGCGTGATCATCGAACAATCAAGCGTTTCATTCAAAATAGTCAACAGGGTCGCAAGAAGCGTGTGGAAAAACCAAGGCGCAAAATAACTGCCCATGAACTGAGAAAAGTCAAGCGTGCAGCTGCCAAGATGCCACTTGCCACCAGTTTGGCCATATTTCAGAGCTGCAACATCACTGGAGTGCCCAAAAGCACAAGGTGTGCAATACTCAGAGACATGGCCAAGGTAAGAAAGGCTGAAAGACGACCACCACTGAACAAGACACACAAGCTGAAACGTCAAGACTGGGCCAAGAAATATCTCAAGACTGGTTTTTCTAAGGTTTTATGGACTGATGAAATGAGAGTGAGTCTTGATGGGCCAGATGGATGGGCCCGTGGCTGGATTGGTAAAGGGCAGAGAGCTCCAGTCCGACTCAGACGCCAGCAAGGTGGAGGTGGAGTACTGGTTTGGGCTGGTATCATCAAAGATGAGCTTGTGAGGCCTTTTCGGGTTGAGGATGGAGTCAAGCTCAACTCCCAGTCCTACTGCCAGTTTCTGGAAGACACCTTCTTCAAGCAGTGGTACAGGAAGAAGTCTGCATCCTTCAAGAAAAACATGATTTTCATGCAGGACAATGCTCCATCACACGTGTCCAAGTACTCCACAGCGTGGCTGGCAAGAAAGGGTATAAAAGAAGAAAAACTAATGACATGGCCTCCTTGTTCACCTGATCTGAACCCCATTGAGAACCTGTGGTCCATCATCAAGTGTGAGATTTACAAGGAGGGAAAACAGTACACCTCTCTGAACAGTGTCTGGGAGGCTGTGGTTGCTGCTGCACGCAGTGTTGATGGTGAACAGATCAAAACACTGACAGAATCCATGGATGGCAGGCTTTTGAGTGTCCTTGCAAAGAAAGGTGGCTATATTGGTCGCTGATTTGTTTTTGTTTTGTTTTTGAATGTCAGAAATGTATATTTGTGAATGTGGAGATGTTATATTGGTTTCACTGGTAAAAATAAATAATTGAAATGGGTATATATTTGTCTTTTGTTAAGTTGCCTAATAATTATGCACAGTAATTGTCACCTGCACACACAGATATCCTCCTAAAATAGCTAAAACTAAAAACAAACTAAAAACTACTTCCAAAAACATTCAGCTTTGATATTAATGAGTTTTTTGGGTTCATTGAGAACATGGTTGTTGTTCAATAATAAAATTATTCCTCAAAAATACAACTTGCCTAATAATTCTGCACTCCCTGTATATATCCTCCCTTACTGCCATGAAATTCCTCTTAAAATAGAATTGCATTGACTGTCTTCTCCATCTTCAACATCATTTTCCCAATAAATTCACTATCCCACTGGGTAAATGGTCTGGTACTTCTATACTGCTTTTCTGCTTTGTATTTATTTTTTAAATTCATTTTTGCCCCTGCATCCTGTCCAGCAGTGAGGCAATCAGAATTGTTGTCTGAAGGTCAAGAATATTAGAATATTTTATTTTGATTTATTACAATCATAACGAAGAAGACCGGTGGACGGAAAAGGAAAAGACGAAAGAAGTTGAGGAGAACGTTATGGAGAAGGATAGGGAGAGAAAAAATGAGGAGAGAGAAAAAACACTGAGAATCTGCTTCAAGACCTGGTGAGGGAAAAAAGTAACACAGCAGAGAAACCACAGCAACAGCTAACATATGCATAAATAACAGTAAATAATGAATAATACATTTTACTGAACAGCACACAGTACTAATAATACAAGATATTTTTAGAGGCAGCAGCCAACTACAATAGTGTGTCTGTGAGTATCTGTTTGTACACCTCTGTGCGTGAGCACGCTTGTGTTCAAAAGGTATCTTCATGGAAATGTCTAGTGTTTGTGTGGGACACCACAGCCCTGCCCCCCAAGAATCACCAATGCATTAGTGGGTGGGGGCCCCAGCCACTGGCAGGGCATGTGGCAGGGCCATATAGGCCCCCACACCTGACCTGATACACAAACAAACAGGCATACACAGACACAAGCATGAATTCACTACCATGGAGACACGCTGAAAAAATGAATGCAGTACACACACTCCCCATACACACTTTATACTCTCAGGTCCAGGCACCAATGCCTAAAGAGGGGCAATCAGCCCCTAAACACAGGAGATGGTCCCTTTCGCTCTGTTCTGCTTTAACTGAGCACTTTTTAAGCGTTATCACACACACGCAGAAATCTTTCTAACATTTGCACACACACTCTGATGGAAGCGTATAGGCAGGCGATCAAGCTAGCAGCCTCCAGATTTGCATGTGACTCACTTTACCTCCTGAGCCACAACTACCACACACACATGCGCTCAGCTCCATCTCAGCTGTCCAGCCTCAGCTGTCCTGTCGATGACCTTCACTCTGTCACCTCTAGCTCCACCTCCTGACTTTTCTCTTAGCTACCCTTTCTAATCTGAGCAACATAAGTGGTCTTACTGCCATCTCATACTCTAAACCTACCTTTTTATTAAGGCTGCTACCTTAATTCTCTTCTCCACCTACTCCACCTTACCTGCACACTCTCTCCTTACCTTTTTTTGTGCACTCCCCATTGATTTGGATCATAACCCCACCTCTAGTACCTCTATTCCTTGCATCACCATTCACCTTTCCATTTGCCTCACTCGCTCACACATTTTTTTCTGTCTTGATACCGCTGACTTTCATTCCTCTTCTTTCTACTGCACATCTCCGTGTCTGTAGGCTCTCCTCTACCTGCTCCCCACTCTCAATACAGATCACAATGTTGTCTGCGAGCAACACAGTCCACAGAGACTCCTGCCCAACCTCATCTGTAAACCTGTCCATCACCACAAACAAGAAGAGGCTCTAGTACAAATCTGTGTCCTACATTTTCATATAAAGCTGCCACCGGTGTTTTTGTACACAGGGGACATTTTGGCACTTCAAAAGAGATTTTAGTGAGATTCAAAAGATAAATGTTAAGAACTGAAAGTGGAAAATGGGACTTAAGAACCTCTGCACATGTCCTTAATAGTAATTTGTCAAATTTGTACAAGCAAATACTTGACTTTCTGCTCTTAGCTCATTTCTCATCCACAGTCTCTATATTTTACACTGAATAAGCCAACTAAACTCCACTGTTTTGAACCTGTCAGTGACATCTTGGGTTTACTGTTTAGAGCCTGGGTGTACCGAACTTTCATGGTGACTTTAAGTAGCAGTTGGATTTAGTTAGTTGTATTTAATTTCAGTTTTAAGAGAACTTACTGTCATGTGTAGCCATCTCCCATAATCCCATTCTTAGCCAAAACCCTGGATTAATGTTCTTTAATAAGAAGCTATCCAAGGCCATCAAATGTATTTGTGGTATTAAAGTTAAGTTGTCAGTTGGCGGTTATTTTAAAAAGTGGATAAATCTCATTTGTATTTACAGTATATTTCTTTCTTTTTTTCCATATTGGATAACTGCACCATCCAATCTCAGCGCTGAATTTCCCTGCTTTCAGCTATAAATTGATGCAGTAATTACCTTTCACTTGAGTTTCATATGAAGCAATGTTTAGGCTTGCTGTGACTCATGCAATCATATTGGTTGACCTAGTTTAGCTCATTCACTTTCTCTCTTTATGACAGGTACCAGCAGATGATACACACCTTAAAAAACACCATGATAACAGTTGTGGAGTCTTTAAAAAACAAGTCTGAGGAGGACCAGCTGAGAAAGGAGGAGACGCACCAAGAGAAGCAGCATAGGCAGTCCAACATCCAGTTCACTGACAACTGCTCTGACAGTGGCTCGTCCTTCAGTCGGGTTAGAGAAAACTGCTTACAAATGATGCCAATAAACGCTTGTTTTATTAATTTTTTGCCTTTATGTTGTATTCTGGCCCCAATTTCTGGATGACATTAATTTCACAAGTTTCTTTCTTTCCATGATACATGGAACGGGGGTGAAAATCAATCTTTAGACATAGAGTGAAGCTGTTTTGAGAGATATTTTCTTTTTGCTTTTTGGTGAGTAATGACGCTTTCCCCCCCATTTCCTGTCTTTTTTTCATTCCCAGAGTTATGGATTCTTTAGACAAGAGCAGCTGCAAATTTTGGCTGAAAAGCTTGACTCCAGCAAGCCCAAAGAGGTAAACAACTTAGACATATCTTTTGGTTTTTCTTTAGGTCACTGGAGGATTCTGTAGCACAAATCCATCTTTCCCAGTTAGATGATCAGGTCTCTTCAAAGAGTTGCAGGCAAGAGCGAGAAAAATGTCCCTTTAATCTTTCCGTAGATTTCTAATCAGGGTTTTTTTTCTTTGTCTTAATCTTTTAACTTGACATTATCTTCACATTTATCCATGTTGGAAAAACTGGAGATGGTCTTGTTTAATTTTGCACTTAAACTGATTTTGAATCAGTTTGAGTGAAACGGTCGCTGTTTGTTGGCACAGTTAGCACTTGCAAGTAGGGTTGCAAGTAGACATTGGTTTGTGTAAAGGGTTAACCAGCTAAAAGGTTACGAACCACTCCTCGGCATAATTGGCAGTGTAGTCCAGGTGCTTGATGTGAGTCTGTGTGTAGGTGCGTTGGGAGGCTCTGAAGGTCCTCTGCCGTGCTCCTACATCTGATGTGCTTAGCTGTGAGAGCTGGAGCAGCCTGCGTCTGAACCTCTGCGTAGCTCTGAGCGAGCCGGATCCCGACCTCAGTGTGAGTCCTGAGCAGCCTCATCTGCACACTGCAGTAAAATAAGTAGCATTAATCATTTATTCATTAATAAATAAATCAATAATAACCATGTTGTTGTTATTAACGATTTTATGCTTTATAATTGAACATTGAAAAACCTGTTCCTCATTCCACGGATCCTTAATCTTCTTTCTGTTCTTCTCACTGAATTTTCTTATCATTTAGAACGTAGGTATCATTGATTGGTTATATAAATGGCTGTGAATGTATGTTCACGCGTGTCATCTCACCTCTGTCAGGATAATGCGCTGCGATTCTTTGCTAAAAGCCTCTCATCCTCTCCTCTGAATGTGACACGAGAAATTTACACAAGCCTGGGTAGGTAACTCTCAATGGACCCTTCTGGGTTTTAATGTAGTGTGCTGGACTGTTGTGTTTGAATTAAACAAAGATGTTTTTTAAAAAGTAAAATAAAAAAAAAAGTATATCTTAAAGGGTCACTTGTTTATTTACAGAGCAAATGAAAAGCAGCTTGTTATTCAGTGACACATGGGAAGTAGTTTTGGTTTTATGTTTAGATGGAAGGAGATGTTTGGTTTGTGGATTTTATGGGACGAGGTTACTTTCAGGAAATTTCCAAGCAGAAAATGCAACTGTACTAATGTGATCCATGTTACTTACTGTATCTTTGAGTGGTTGTAGCTCACTGCTATACATCCAAAATCCATATTATCTTGTGTGGCTTGTAATAAGAATTTGCCTTTGAATGTGCAGCTAAATCTGTGGAGTCAAGTTTTCTGTCCCATAAGCTGAGCTTTCCAAGTGGCTCAGCTACCATTGACGTTAACAGGCCTGAGATCAGTCGTCTCCTCAAGCAGGTACAGCAACTTTTCTACAAGAACTTCTTAACTATATCATGTCAAAAATAAAGTGCACACACTGTTTTTCTCTCTGTGTGTCTTGTTTCAGATTCGACTGATGAATGATTTTCAAAAGGAGGTGACTAACTTCTGGATACGTCATCCAGAGAAGTAAGTTGTCTTTATCTTGTTTCTTGATTGTGTGCCCAACCATCACGGACTATCCAGATGCTACTTTTCAAATCTGATGTATAAAAAAAAGAACACTTAGTACGTTTTTAAATGATTCATTTTAAGAGGGTGTGAAATTTGACCCACAAATACATATCACTTAATATACGTAATTATTTATAGAATGATGGAACGGACTGTGAACTTATTTTGTGTTTTTGTTTCTCGACCTTGCTTATAGATACATGGAAGAAGTTATAGAAAACACCTTTTCCCTGCTGTCCTTCCATCACGAACATGGCTCACCAGGAACTGAGAGAGTCCTGGAACCAGTTCACTTACTGGCTTTACTGGATGTAAAAGCCACTTGGTTTAAAAAGTGGATGGTGTGTATGCCCACAGTTTCAGATTTACACAGACTGAATTTTTGTATGAACCGCTGTGTTTGTGTATTGCATTTTAATGTTTTGATCTCCATCCTCTCTTGTTTATATTGCACTCTGTAACGTATATTTTTTCTGGTTTTCTCCTGGCCTCTGCCTCCCTCTCAGCATGGCTACTACAGCAGGGCTGTGATTCTCAGACTCCTGGAGAGAAAATACAAGTCTGTGGTGAGTGGTTTACTCAATAATAAGGATCTTTCACTGCTTTGTACTCCTGAAAGGTCTGAGACAAGAGGGGAGCAAATGAACATCAAAAGGATTAACCCGAGTCAATACTGGATATTTGAGGACAGTACAGATAGATATTATTAGGGATTTTTTTTTTTTAAAGTCAATATCAAGATATTCTCTCTCACATGCTTTCTGTCCATATATATGCATATAGTTGGAGCTAAATTAAAAGGGAATATATTACCATCTGCTAAGCTGTGATACTACTCTCTGTGCTTCAAATGATACTGAGTGCTCTGTAAACACTGCTGGACAAAATATGTCTTTACAACATTTCTAACTGACCCTCACACATTTCTTTGCTTTGTGGTTGAATAAAAGACTTTTTTTTTTCTGTTGGTGCATATTTGACAACAAAAATCCTGAAATTATTATATCTGTGAGATAGTGGCTGATAGTATCAGGCAAACATTATATTGGCCTGGTTCTTGGGTCATCCAAAAGGCATCAAAACTTGCATCTAAAACAGACATTGTGCTCATGAGAAAGCAAAGCTGTGATTGGACCAGAGGAAACTGGTGAACTGATGAAAATCTTGGTTTTTCCCAAACAAATCCATTTACCTGCAGAGCCCAAGGGTGACCTGTTTCCATATTGAAATGCTGTAGTCAGCCTCCAAAAGTTGATTCTGTTCATCTGGACGTAGCGTTTTCAGTGGGAGAAACGTTTCGCCACTCATCCAAGTGACTTGCTCATTCTCAGCTGACTGCAGGTTTTCCCAATCTAATAAACAGCACATTTGCATAATGACAGAAAATGCTAGTCAGCATTTTCTGGTTTGGTTTTTGGGCCTTATTGAGAACCTTCTCCTAAATTCTACCTTTACTAAGATGTAAACTTGTTGAAAAGCTAAAGAGATTTTCCAAAAGACTGGCTGTATCTAACTGCTTCTGACACCTCCTATGAAAATGGTCCTGTTTGTGTCATTTTGTGGGGTGCAGGTGTAAATCACAGCCAAACAGTTCAGTGTACTGGTCTTTTAGACAAAAGGGCACAGAACAGGAGTGGCACTTTGACATTCAAGAATTGGTCTTTTTTTTTTTGAGCTCAAACCTCCCTTTTGACTGTGACTTTAGAAGAGTTACTGTGGAATCGCCGCTGAAACTTTCTCTAAAGAAACTGCCAATATCTTTCTGAAACACTGTAAGCCTAAACTGCTCTTGCATCGCAGGGCATTAAAATTCCCCACAGTGCTTGGATTTAGATTAAAAGCATGGCTTCTAGTCTTAAATCTCTTGATTGGATAAGAGGAGGTTGCACTGAGATTCTGACTGAATTTTTAAGTAATTGTTCAGTTTTTGGCCTGTTTATGACAGTAGTCTACAAATTTGGCAATGCACATTAGCCGTCGTCATTTTATTCAGCTAATTTAACATGCTTAGCATCTGAAGCAACATGCATTATATCTTTTCTTTCACAGGCTGTAGCAGCTCTTCAGCAGTGCATCAAGTACAATGAGTCCTGTGAACGTTTCACAAATGAGACAACTGAGTCAGGGGAGCAGCGGAGCATTGGCAAGTTAAAAAAAAACAACCACTCCCTAATCTCATTATTTCTTCATCAGGTTTGTGTACTCTCTCAGGCATATTCAAATACCAAACTTCACTCTGGGCCTCTCCCTGTGTGCTAAGCATCAGCACATTTGCAGTAATGCTGATTTAATGTGTCTTGTGAAACAAACCAAAAAATAAAACTCTCAGAGTGAACTACTGTGAAAGTCTAATGAGAAAGTAATGCTTCATTTGAAGCCTTTGAGTGTTTGTACCTAGACTTTGCCATCATTTATTCAGCTTCTTTTATGCACAGACATTAAAACATAGGTGGACAGAGGAAAAATGGTGGAAAGGACAAGTTATAACACTGACAAATTGGCATAGCAACACTTCAGGAATACATTACATATTACATGACGCAGTCCAGTTTTGAATGACGTTCTCAACAATGTGTACAAACAAGAGGCAATACTGGAGATTATCGACAGCCCTTTGCATCACCATTAAGTGGTTTTTTTTTCTCAAATTTTAGGAAACATTTTTTAATGAATTCCTTCTAATTTTTTTACGAAATTATCTGTTTGTGTCAAGTATTTGATAAATTAAAAATAACATGATAATTATAGAGTAACATGGACATGGTGCATATCCATTTGCAAAGCTACGTGCTAAAATGGAATAAACCAGAATGAATACAGGTGCAGATGGGGCATAAGGGAACGCAAGTGGAGCCTGTTATCTCCTGTAAGCCAGCTGGCTCCTTGAGACTGAACATTGTGACCTTGTCTTGGATAAGTTGCGATATGCCAGTTCCCTCGCCACTGATATAGTCCTCATAAAAGACATAGTTTTTTTCCGAGCTGTGCCTCTTTTGGCTTTCTGCTCTCTAGAGACACTGCAAGCCTGACACATTTTTTCACCTGTCAGTCTCATTGTAATTCTGAGGCCTTTGATATGAACAGTGTGAAAACTGTGTCCATCTCAGTGCTGCCACATTTTTTTCCCACATTGTTTTCTTCTCTTTTTCTCATTTTAGTTCCTTAAATCATCTGTTACAATATCAGTAATATATTGTAACAATGTATCACTTTGATTTTTCTCTTAATGTTTCAGGTTTGGTACAGAGGAGTGTTTATTCTGGAAAAGAGCTCGAGTATTGCTGCTTTGTTCACTCTCTGTGTGTCCTAGGGAAGCTCATCATCTACACCAATGGAAAAAAGCTCTTTCCCATCAAAATAAGGAAATACAAAGGTTTGATGGTGCAGGATTATGTTACATAACTCAACATGTCGTCTGTTGTATCATCTTGACACTGATCTTGAGAGTTTATTGCCATGTACAGATCGTCATATCTCCTTTAGTAGATGTAATCTTTATAGTGCAGAGATTTTAGCCCTCCACTGTAATTACTAATAAAGTTACATAATAGTTACGTTTCACTTAGTCAGTTGATTAAAGCAGACTCTTCATCTGACTTTCCTGAACTGTAATTGATTTACTAATTAATAACTCCTCTCAGGACATTCGTGTACAGTCAAATCACCCCTGTTTTGTAATTTTATCCAACATAGGTTACACAACTAGGGTGTTGACCAGCAACTCATGGATAATGACCACATCTTCAAGTGTTGACCTGGATACCCTATCTGTGTGTTATAGTTTATCACCTCCTAAAGCTTTCACTGCAGTTTTTTTAAAAACATGTACTATGACATTTTAAAATCTAAGTGCGGTATTCTACCAGGATTTTTTATTTTTGTATTTTTGTGAGAGCACCACTGACGCCAGGTGTTCACATATGTAGCTGTCTGGAGTCTGGAGTTCAGTATAACTTCAATTCACTGTCCTGCCACACAGTCGCAGTCTGTTCTGCCTTCAGATTTTTAGCAGTATATTCAGTGTTTAGTGTTTTCAATTTAACATTTTCTTGTTATAGTTATAGTTTTATTTAATATAATGTATATATAGTTATACCATGGCGCTTTATGTACTCATGCTACGACTATACAACACTATAATAATAATGAGAAACCAAGCAATAAATTGATTCCTTATGAGGAAGAATTCGGTGAATGTGGGGAAACAAGAGAATCTCTTTTTTAAGAGTTCTTCAGGTTGTCTCACAGGTTACAGGGGGAGACAAAGATGTAGAGAGAAGAGATGAACATAGAAAGAAAGGACACAGTGTTTGAACTGTAGACCATCTGCACCTATAGGATGGTACTGGGAGATGAATCATTCAAGGTTAATGGCATGAAACAGATGCACAGTGAGAAAAGGAGAGATCTGAATATCTTTTTCTTAGTTTTCTTAAATGTTTTTAATTTTCTTTTTTTTTTGCAGAACAAAGTCCTACTCCCAAATATTTTCTTTTATTTAAAGTTTTAGAAAAGCAGAAGCTCTCTTTATTGTAGTACGTGCAACCAGGAACTGTTGGTGATATTTAGGCTTGTAATGAAATGTCATATTAAGACACTTTTAAAAGTCTGTGGATACTAAAACCCACTGTGCACATAATATGTTAAGTGAACTACACACAAGGGGCTGATCCTTGTCTCTAAGGTTACCTTAACTTTTGATATGGACTATTTCCTTACCCACCTAATATTTTTAGTCGCTGTCTAGACACGGTGACTATCAACTGATTGATTGATTTATTATGTCTATTTCAGATCCTGTTACCCTGACAGACCTCGTTGTCATCCTGCTTAACATAATGTATAAACACCCTAGACCTCTGGACAGGGATTCCTCACACACAGGTAGGGCATGCATACGCACACGCGGGTATATAGTAGAATTTCAGCTTCCTTATTGGTCTCTGTTCAGATAGGAGAATTTCAAATCAACTGCTGAGGTAGGTTAGTGACCCAACGTATGAGATGGAAAAAGAACTCCTCGGGCCATATCTTTTATCTCTTAACCTTGTACTGAGTCGTGTAGTACTTAATTTGTCTCCTTGAAGGCTTTATTGCCCCATTCATTCTCATGAATTACGTTAGAGAAATGTTGGTCCAGTGATCAATGTTGTTCCCCACCTTGACTTTGTCAGAGGGTAATCTCCTTTGGCTGAGACAGAGAGTCATGCTGACTAAGACAGATATTTATATTAATATTTTACCTGCTGTCTGATGCAGATCACATGAAGCATTCTTGAGATTGTATTTTGAGCAGCAATATGATACAGCACAGTGCACTCTGCGACAGATTTAGTCTCGAATGGAGGGTAAGATGTTTGAATTTAAAGCCCCATTAGGCTAAGTTTCCAGCTATAACACAAACATGACTTGTAAATCTTCACTTTTGTAATTTTCTCTTGTTACACAACATTGAACTCTAGTTATACGTGGCTTTTAATAGTCTTAGAGTTATGTGCATGTAGTATTAAAAGCAACAACATTCTTATAAAGATTGGTCCCAGATATTCATTTATGATCCTCACAGACATCATCTGTGTTCTCTGTATCTTTGGGGCATGTATTGGCATATATCAGAAATAAAGTGCTTCTCAAAAGCGCTTTACTTGTTCCACAGTTTGTCATGTTAGAGCCTTAGTCCAAAATGGATTCAATTAATTTTTCACCTCAAAATCCTACACATAGTACTCCTTAATGACAAAGTGAAAAAGTTTGCTTAGAGTTCTTTTGTTTATTAAAAATATAATAACAAGAATATACCACGTATTTAAGTATCCACAGTCTTTGCTCGTCACTTTGTTAAAGCGCCTATGGCAGCAGTTACAGCCTGAAGTCTCTTTGGGTATGATGCTACAAGCTTGGCACATCTATTTTTTTTGCAGTTGCTCCCATTCTTCTTACCACAACCTCTCAAGCTCCATCTGGCTGGTTGCATTAGTACACAGCCATTTCACAATAGTTCGCTCAAGGACATTCACACAGTGGTCCAGAAACCACTCCTTTGTTATCTTGTCGTCCTGCTGGAAAATGAACCTTAGACCCAGTCTGTGTTCAGAGCCTTTTGGAGTACGTTATCATTAACTACGTCTGAACTTTTCTTCGTTCATCTTTCCCAGTTCCTGCTAACAAAAAACATCCACACCACCATGCTTCAGTGTAGGGATGTTATTGGCCAGGTGATGAGTGGCACCTGGTTTCCTCTAGACATGGCGCTTAGCATTCAGGCCAAAAACTTTTGTTTCATCAGACCAGATAATTTAGTTTCTCCGGGTCTGAGAGTCCTCCAGGTGCATTTTGGGAAAAAACTCCAGGTTGGGTGTCATGTGTCTTTTACTGACTGGCTACTGTCTGGCTACTATATAGGCCTGGTGGACTGCTGTAGAAATAGTTGTTCTCTTGTAAGGTTCTTCTCTCTCCATAGAGGAATGCTGAAACTGTGTCTGTTTGAGGTGAAACATGAATTTAAGCCATTGTGGAATAAGGCTGTGATATGAGAAAAAGTCGGTGGATATATGCATATCTCAAAATAGTGGAAATACAAGTTCATTGGCCACTTTGTTAGGTACAACTTGCTAGTATTGGCTTGAATCATCTTACTGACATGAAAGCAGCACAAAATGGTCATTGATTGCATATTTAGGTGATCTAAAAGTGTAAACCTAGTGGGCAGATATAATCCTAGTGGGTATTAATGTAATTAGATGATTTCATATGCATTTAATTCAGCTAATTAATGTCGTTAAATGCATATTAATTCATTTACTTTCGGTAGGTTCAGACGTCCTGTCGCCCAGCACCCTTGTGATGGAGGTGCTTTGGATGCTATGTGAACAGACAGAATGCGCTACAGAGTGTCTCTATCAGACTCCAGTTATAGAGAAGCTACTAACTCCTGTTATAGCGCTGCTCAATGGACAGAAGGTCACAAGCATACCTACACGCACGCACACACACACACACACACACACACACACACACACACACACACACACACACACACACACACACACACACACACACACACACACACCATTTGCAGATTACAAAAAAGGTTTTTGATTCATACAGTTTCAAGTGTAAAGTGTCCAACCATGACTTTCTACTCATAGTAAATAAGCATGTAAACTACTTTCCTTTTACATTTTTAGTGCAATAATTTTCAAATGGAGACTCCTCATCTTAAGAGTAACATAGCTGTCCTCTGCGTAAGGACTTGTCATCGTTCAGCCTTCCAGAAAATGGAATTACAGAGGCTTTGGTTATGAAATGTAGTAGTTTTTTCTTCAGTTCCATTATTGTGAAAGATAAATGTGTTATTTCAGTGTTGAGTATCTGTTCAGGTGCCAATTTTTCTGAAGCAGTTGGTAATTTTGTGTGTTTATTTTCTGTGCTTTGCAGGCTGAGTTAAAGTCTCCTGCAGCAACCCTGAGTCTCATTGCAGATATTCTGGCTCGTATTGCAAACACAGACAGAGGATTAGCGCTCTTCTTATTTGAGAAGAATCTCGTCGCAGCCCACAGTGAGAGGTGAGATGTTGTGATTAAATTCGCAGCGTCGTTTTGTCGTTCTTGATAGTAATGAATAAATTACATTTTCCTAACTTAGCTGGAAGATTTTAATACAGAGTTAAATTTGCATAGCAAATCCTGCTTATTCTGCACCGAGAGCAGATTGGAACATGAGGCTGCTGCTGGTTTGTGAGCAGCTGGGGTTATATTATACTGCGTTATATTCTGTTGCCTGACAATGACTAGTCTGCACTGTAGTTTCCTTCAGTCTGTCCAGAAACACATTCTATTGTTGTGAATGACCAAGAATGTATTTACCAACCACCTATGGCTTCACTTCTGTATGCTAGCTCATTAAAAATGTGAGTGTATGAAAGTGCTTTGGAGACCTCCAGTGTAGGCATGTAAAGCCACAAGTTGAAATTGCTATACTTACAATCTAAAAATCTCATGTTGTGGCTCTATAATAAACATTGTCTTTTTTCACCCTCGTCTGCAGAACCTTTGCTGCTCATATCATCATACAGTTCACCCAGAGGCTGCTCGACAAGGAATTGCCATCGTTGTGTGAATCTGATATGCCCCATTCATTATGTGGAGCCTTTATTTTAGTTTGTCGGCAGATGTACAACACCTGCGAGGGTCTGCAGGTTCTACGACCCTACGGCCTGCACAAAGCTTTAGCTGCTGCGTGGAAAAAGGTACATGTAACTAATTTGTGCTATTTGCAGAGACTTTATTATTTGACGTGGAGCTATTATAGATTCAAAGATTCAGGATTCAAGATTCAAAGTGTCTATTGTCATGTGTTCAAAGAAAAAAATGCATTTCTTTGTGCAATGAAATTCTTTCTTTGCTGTCCACCCACAGATGCTGATTAATATATACAATAGAAATAGAACAGACAAAATACAAATAGTACAAATAAATAAATGAAGACAGAAAAGGAGACAAAATATTGAAGTGTGAAACAGAGATGTGTGCAAAAGAGCTATAGCTTAATAATTAATACAGGTTAATTATTATTACTGTTCAAAAATAGTTCAGCTGTTCAAGAGTCTGACAGCAGTGGGGAAGAAGGAGTTGTTGAGTCGGGATGTTCTGGATTTCACACTTCTAAACCTTCGTCCCGATGGCAGAAGTGTGAACAGTCCATGTTGGGGGTGTGTGGGGTCTTTGAGGATGGAGGCAGCTCTCCTCTGGACTCTGTGATGGTAGATGCTCTGCAGAGAGGGCAGCAGAATCCTGATGATCTTCTCTGCAGTTGTTATTACTCTCTGCAGGAGTTTGCTGCAGTGATGCAGCTGGTCAGCGTGCTCTCCACAATGCAGCTGTAGAACTTGCTGAGGATCTTGGCCGACATACCAAATTTCCTCAGCCTCCTCAGGAAATACAGCTGCTGCTGCGCCTTCTTAACCAGCTGTGAGGTTTTCAGTGTCCAGGTGAGGTCCTCAGAGATGTAGACGCCCAGGTATCTAAAGCTGCTCACCCTCTCCACTTCAAGGCCCCGGATAAACTGCGGCTGGTGAGGCCTCCTCTTCTTCCTCGTGTCCACTATCATCTCCTTTGTCTTGTCAGTGGTGAGGGTGAGGTTGTTGTCCTCACACCATGACACCAGACCGGCCACCTCTCTCCTGTAAGCCGCTTTGTCCCCTCCAGTGATACGACCGATCACTGCAGTGTCGTCTGCGAACTTCAAAATAATGTTATCTTTGTTGGAGGTGACACAGTCGTGGGCGTACAGGGTCTAGAGGATGGAACTGAGGACGCAACCTTGTGGAACTCCTGCGTTTGTAATAATGCTGACTGAAGTCCTGTTGCCGATCCTGACGGATTGGGCCCTGCCAGTCAAAATGTCCAGTAGCTAGTCACGTAGGGTGGGGTGTAGGCCGAGTGTTGCCAGCTTGCGAGTGAGTTTGTGTGGGATGACAGTATTGAAGGAGGAGGTGTAATCAACAAAAAGTACCCTAATGTATGAGTATTTGTTTTCCAGATGGGAGAGGGAATAGTGAAGGGCAGCAACGATGGCGTCTGACGTAGACCTATTGGGCCGGCGGGCATACTGCAGGGGATCCAGAGTGTCTGTGATGTTGCTCTGGATGTAGGCCAGCACCACTCTCTCAAAACACTTTTCAATGATTGGAGTGAGTGCAACTGGTCTATAGTCATTCAGGCAGGTGGCTGGGCTTGTCTTGGGGAGAGGGATGATGGTTGTGGTCTTGAAGCATGTGAGGACAGTGTTCTGGTTGAGGGAGAGGTAAGAACCTCCGCCAGCTCATTGGCACATGCTTAAAGGGCCCGTCCCGGGATGTTGTCTGGTCCTGCTGCCTTACGGGGGTCGATCCTCCTCGGGGTTTTGTGCACCTGGTCTATTGAGACCACTGACGGGGGTGGGGGTTGGGTGGTCTGGGGGTTCTGGCAGGTCCTGGTGATCTGGGGGGTCTAGAGGGTCTGGGAGGTCTTGAAGCGGGTGTAGAATGTATTGAGATCATCCAGCAGACCGCCTACAGAGCTGATGGTGCTGGTGCTGGTGGTGGCCCTATACTCTGTGATGTGCTGCAGGCGTTGCTACATCAGGACTTGCCATCCAGCTTCTCTCTGTACTGCCTCTTAGCCACTGTGATGGCTTTCCTCAGTCCATACTTCGCAGCTTTGTACTCCATCTCATTTCCTGATCTAAATGCGAGAGACCGAGTACGCAGCATGTGCCATACCCGACTGTTGATCCAGATCTATATATTATTATAGAATAATATATGTAAGATTACAGTAGTGGATGCTCATATTATGGGCAACCAGTCAGAAGAATGTAGGATTAAAAGGAGGATGAATAGCTCTGTAGAGCTGTAGGGGTGCACCAAGGCCCAGTATAAGACAAATGAGGATTAATTTGAACTTTGAATCATGTGAAACTTTTCTGCCCAAACACAAAACCATGTGTGCTTGGAAATAAACCAAACTCTACACCAGCTTTTCTTTAATAAATCTTGCTTTGGTAAAGGGAACAGTTTATAAACACAGTGCAGTGGGGTTTTTTGGATCACAAATAATACAGCAGTGCTTTACTGTATGGAAAGTGCACTCAAGAATTTCACATCCTGCTGTTTTGCTGACTTGAAACAGTTTAAAGAAATCCATTTTATTTCATCAAACATGTTTTTTTATTATTATTATCTCTTTTATAAGAGAGACTTGACCCAGGTAGCAGATAAGCTACATATCATAAATGCAACACATAAAACATTATACAAATACCCACAACAAAAAAGAGTAGTGTTGTATAAGGAAACCAATCACGTCTTCACCACAATGATACTGCCCTCAAAGTTAACAATAGATGTCGATTTTTTTCATTTCCAAGATGTGATTTAAGAAAATGCTGTTTTCCCAGATATGTTACTTTTAGAGTATAACTGTAAATATAACAAATCCAGGAGACATTTGCTTGACTAACTGAGCCATGACTGGATAAGAGATGATGGCCCAACTCAGTTTCTGAATCTTTTATCTAAATATGTAAAGGAGGGGTGTCTGTATGTAATGATCAGATCCCTGGCTAGAATATTTATGCTGTATTTCATTTACTTGATGAATGCCACGTTCTCGCTTTATTCAGTCAACACAGCTTGAAAAGCACCATCATTTCATGCAAATGGTGGGAATTAACTAACCTTTGTAATGTGCTTCATTTAGTTCTTGGAATGGTGTTTCTGACTCGACACAGCATCAGTTATCTTTAATCTGCAGTTTGTGTTTCAAAGCTAAACCAGAAAATATGCAAACAAAAATGAAGCTCTGCTGCAGTTCATTTACAGGGGCGTCATAGAGAAGGTTTCAGTGGCGCTGTTAGTATCCCTGGGTTTTTGTCCCAGTATGTTGAGTTTTTGGTTGCTTTGTGTATTTTCCGGGTTTTTCTTTATGTATTGATAGTCTAGAGTTTTGTTACCTAATTCTGCTCTGTGCTTTGCTTGTATTCTACTTCAGTTTTGCCCCCTTGTCTCCTGTCCTAGACTCACCTCCGTAAAGCCCCTGTAAATCAGTATAATCTCCATGTTTGGTTACTTTTCTGACTCTGTGTCAGTTTGTGTTTCTGTGTTCCTTTGTTTGTCTAGTTTCTGTGTCCTGTCTCCCCAGTCTGTCACATCTCATATGTAACCAGTAAATGATCGAATCCAATTAAGTCTGTGTTTCTGTTTTTTCTATTTTGGTTCCCGAGCTCCAGCAGTAAAGCTGTCTGAGTTGAATTCGTGTCTCCATGTCTGCATTTTTGATCCGGAAGCTATCAGCCACACCTTGACGCATAACAGGCAATCCTTCTGTCAAGCTGCCCAGTGACTGGTAGTGCCTCAGTAGCTGTGAAAGCAGTTCCGCCCCACAACCTACCTGTTTATTTTCAAAACATCTGGTATAAAAATTAACGTGTATGAGACATTGTTTTATTACTTTATTACTGTCACAAAATGGATCGTGTTCCTTTGAAAGTCTCAAACGCATGCCCATATTTGTTCAATGGAGAAACAAAATGCAGGTTTAATCCTGACTGACAGTGGGATCAGCTGATGCTCCATGTTTACTCACCTTCTTGTTTCATGTTAAGCAAATGAGATCCTGGTGTTTAGAGCACTTTTTCAGTCTGTCAAGAACCAAGTAAACAAATGAACACATTCTGTGGGATTTTGGATTGCTTAATTATTTATTTATTCGTTCTAATTTAAGGATGTAAATGTGGTCTAATATTTCAGGTGATCCTCATGTTCACAAACTCAATTTAATATAGAGTAATTAAAGTATGATTAAAGTATATTGTGTAATAATACTTTTTTTAAAACTTTATTTCTAGACCAGCTCGCTGTCAGAAAGGGTTCAGACTCCAGTACCTGGAGCTGGCGCTGGATCATCTACCCAAGAGCTGCAGAACATGTGAGGCCGCACATCGTAAAATCCAACTTTAAATAATTTTACAAAATGTCTATATTTATTACAGCAATGAATGAGGACACCATCCAGTAAAATACAAGAGTATTGGAGTTCAGCGGTATTTAATCATGTTTTTTTTTCAGTGTATCTTCAACAAGAAGCAATCTAAATAAAATACTATAGGACACCATGTAAAATCGAATTGTAATACAATAAAGTGACTCTATAAAATGAAATTGCCCCAAGAGTTTAATAAAGCAATATGAAACAAACTAAAAATGGATAACTAAAAGTAGAATAAAAACAACATACACAGAAAATGTCAGATGATATTAAATGGCTCACAGTAAAGTACAGTGGTATCTAAAAAAATGTCTTTATGTGTAAGGAATTGACTCCTAGTGATTTTAATATTGTGTTTCTTGCAGTGGGAGGACAAAGCACCATCATTTTTCTGTCTTTCTTGTTTGTGAACAGGCTCATTTGGGAGGAGACATTATTGGACAGTCTGTTGAATTTTGGTGCCACTCCAAAAGGCCTTCTGCTGCTCCAGCAGACAGGAGCCATTAATGAATGTGTCTCCTACATGTTCTCTCGCTTTACCAAAAAACTTCAGGTAATAATGTACTTAACTGTTCGTAGTTAATTTGTGGTAATTGTCCTGCTTGTGTTTCCATCATACTAATTATGTACAGTAGTGTATCTCCAGTTTGCGCGCATTTTGATTGTGTTAAGCTTGAGGTTTCCTGAGCCAAATGCTCTGTAGCAGCACTCTGCTGCACATTAACACAACTACAGTATATAAGAGTAGCCACGTGGATGCTGCCAAATTCAAATGTAGTCACTGAGAGGCCAAAGTGTAGCAGTGACGAGATCAAGTGGGCTGTTGGGGAGTGGCATTATGAATTGATTTGCTCCATGAGATTCAAATTCCTCCAATCAAAACGGTGCCAGCAATGCAACGTCAGATTTAAAATAGCATTCTTTAAAAATTGCACGTGGTCACAAAACGAGTCATTGGGTTATAAAGGCACTGTTAGTAGTTTGAGGTTATCGTCCTGCTTTTATCAGGGTGGGTTTTCATGTCCTGATAAGCACTGCTCATGACATAGTTACATTAATGTTTTATTGCATTTTATGGAAATCCTTTGGCAGCCCTTATTGATCCTATCAAAGTGCCAAAGTAATTTCATGCCTCTCAGAATCTTCCGGGTCATGCTGACTTGAGTTAGAGAGATACAAAATGAATAATCACTGATGAGACAAAAAAAGAGAAAAGAGTGATTATTGGAGTGCGTACAAATATTTGTGCAGAAACTATGGATGCACATTGTATTAAGGATTTATGTTGTATTATTCCCTATGCAGCAGGCATAATCTTTGTCAGATTTATTCATTCTGCTGGCTCATGTCATCAATATCATAATTCATTCTTCACAAGATGTGGTAATTTGTTGATCCTGCTCCTCCTTAAGGCCACAATCATAATTCCCGAGGACTCCTTAGTATTCACAGCACCCTGCTCGACACTGAAACACACTTTCTAAGATTCAAATTGTAAACACACATACACTCAGGCTTGCTGCAAACCTTAGCTGATCCCCTGTGGGCTTAATTTACCGCCATTGTTTACGCACTATTGTAATTGCTTCTCTAGTTTAGCATTTCAGTTTAATTATGGCATGTAATTATATTTTGTCTATTTTTAGTTGTGGCATTGTGTTGTAATTAATGAACGGCCTGCACACTCCAAAATCAATTTACAATTTGATTTCTCCACAGCATGTTTAGCTACATTATGTTGTGCCTTTCCAGAATCCTAGATTTACTTACACATCTCCCTTTATCATACATTAGCACTACATTTGACCTAAACCTTTTCCATCCTTTTTCCAAACACTCATTCATTTTTTACCTGATGAGCAAAAACTACAATAGTGAAAGGCTGAAAGATTTCTAGGAGTATGAGATTTCTGTGTGTTTTCTGTAGGTGAGCAGCTGCGAGAAGTTTGGCTACGGGGTGATGGTGACACAGGTGGCAGCAACTGCTCCGGGAGTTGTGGCTCTGCACAGTTCAGGTATTAATGCAGTTACTTGGACACAACAAACACTTGTCAGCTGTGATGCTCAAGGCTTATATTATAAGTTGTTGTTTTTGTGTTGTCGGTATAAAGGAGACTTCAGGCAGCTTAGGGAGAAATGTATTTGTCAAACTGTTTTTGTCTGGGTAAGAAAGAGTAAGAAGAGGCGTTTTCTTTTTTTCTTTTTGTTTTGGAAGGATTAAGATGGTGTGTGATGTGAGCATCATTCAGGCAAGAGAAAATGTGATTTTGTTGTCAGCAACACATTTACAAGTAGCATGGTGAATCATAGATAAATGGATTCACATATCAGTTGTATACTGATACTAGGTGTATCCATATGCAAAAGGCTCCAGGAAATACCGTACTCTTGTCAAAAGAGGCCAAAAAATGAAGCCAGTGAACAAATATTTTAATCCTGCATTCTTTCTATGGGCCAGAAGGGGCGACTCAACTGGTTATGGAAAAACAAAGTCTGATTTCTTATCAGCCCTTCGCATATAACAGCACCGCTGCGCTCTGAAACCTATTCTCTCTAATGACTTTAGCCACGCAAGAACAGTTCCCTGCTGTGTTGAGCAGCGCTGGCTGTGGAGCACTCATGTGTTCCATGATGTGACATACGTTTGTGCCATCGATAAAAAGGCTGACTGACAGAAAGAAGGATGACCTCAAAAAGTGATATAGTCCAGGCAGAGCTTACAAATTATGGGCCGTTTGCTAAGCTTTCTATGTGAGAGAGCCATTCTGTAAGAAAAAGACTCTACTGCTGACTTGATCTATGACCACTGAAAAACAGTTTATGATTTCCATCACTATTCAATCATTAAATTTTTTTGTAACATTACCTTTTTGTAGATAATGTTAACCTTCCAGTCAAAAACAATACTTTAAGGAAGGCCTGCAGTGTCATTTAGAAGTCTACATTCACCCCCAGCTTGTCACCAAGACCCAAAGCATCTGCTTGAGGTTTCAGAACTGGACTTCGCTAATCAATGGGTGCTGTTAGGGGGCTATGTCCTTGTTTTATATACAATACAGTACATTCCCTGGGTTATACAGCACTGATATGCAAAGATTAATTGTATATCTGTAACTCTAGAACTGCAGTACTTGCAGTTTTCATAGTTTAAATTTGTCATTGTACTCTGTTTGCATATTCTTCTTCTAAGTATAAAATCCCTTTTGTTATATTTGTCTTGTTAATTTAACTGAAATACACTGAAAATTGCTCACAAATTAATGTTTATGTGTCAATACAAATGCAGCTTTTGTTGCTGGGAGCTTCCCGTGATGCACTGACTATTTCTTCTTCCATGATACTAATGTTATGTCTTTACTTCATCATTTATGTACTGTAGTGTATCCCCAGTTTTCCAGTGAGGGCTGCATACATTTTGGTTGCATTAATGTTGTTATCCAGCCGTTACGTGCAAGCTTGAGGTCGCTGAGTCCAATGTTCTTTAACAGCAGCACTCTGCTGCACATTTAAACAACTACAGTGGAAAAATATAGCCAATCAGAAGCTGCAAAAATGTAGTTACTGACAGGCCAAAGTGCAACAGAGAAGAGATCAAATGGGATCAAAGTGAGTGGCATTATAAATTTACTTCCTCCCTAAGATTCAAATCCTCCAATCAAAACGGTGCCAGCAATGCAACGGCAGATTTAAAATGCCATTCTTTAAAAGATCGCACACAATAACAAAGTCAGTCGTTTATTTATTAAAGCACTGTTAATAATTTTAGTTGCTGCGATTTAAAATAAATGTTGGTACAAAACATTTCTCCATGTTCTGTCTCAGGCTTTATACGGGCCCTGGTACTAGAGCTGTGGTCTGTTCTTGAGTGCAGCAGTGACGACGTCAGAGTGGTCCGTCCCAAACCAACTCCCATTGACCCCATAGATAGGAGCTGCCTTAAGGTATTGTGTGTGTGTGTGTGTGTGTGTGCGTGCGTGCGTGTGTGTGTGTGTGTGTGTGTGTGTGTGTGTGTGTGTGTGTGTGTGTGTGTGTGTGTGTGTGTGAGAGCGAGAGAGAGAGAGAGAAAGGGAGAAGGAGAAACTTCCTGGAGCCCAAAATGCCCCAATTTTTAGATATCTACATGATAGTACAGACACAGATTTCTTAGAAGTTTTGCTTTTCCATCATGTTTTTAGCTCACTGGTTACAAAGGTGTTTAAATTGATTAAAATTAAATTGATTCCAATTATTATTGACTCAGAATAGTGGTCCATGTGTTGCTGTGATACCAGCAGCCATGTAGAAAACTGACTTGTGAATATTCATATTTAAGAAACTGGCAATAGTGATTTTGTTAACAAGAAAGGCTTTTTTGCTCAGAACTGATTGGTTTATGGGTGTCTGGGAAAATAAGCCTTACTTTCATAAGACTGCATTTTTAGTTATGTTTTTGGCAGAATTTCTCTCAGGAAAGCTTCAATATTTCATTTGAAGCTCCAGTGTGCGCCTGTCTGTGTGTGTCTGATGCTTGGCCTCTGACAGCAGCCAAGTCATCTCTCTCAGAGAGACTAGCCAAGTGAATACGGACAGCCAGTGATGTGTAAACTGTGTCCTGCCACAGGCGACTTTAAAGCCTGCCTTATCAGTGGGTTATACATATATGCTGAGCTCAAAGGAAAACTAAATATACACATACCAGTATTTTGGTGAATTAACTTGAGTCTTTGCTTTAATCTGTGCTAAGTACAGTAGGAGGTTTGGTAGTACATATGAAGATAAGGAAGTACACATATGCACAGAAACATCAGAAGACACATGAAAGTATAGGAATTTTTATTTTAGAAAAAAAAATCCATCGTATGTTGTTTTTTACTTTACGTTTCTTTGAAGCTGTTTAATATAATCTAAGTTGTAGCTCGTTTGTGCAAATGACTGTTTTTTTTTCCTTTGATGCTTTTGATGATATGTTTTCCCTCTTCCACCAGACCCAGTGAAAAGCGCAGGGAGCTTTCCTGTAGTTTAATATTCTTCAGGCTGCAATAGGTTTCTGCTCAACCACTCTGCTCAGAATTGTGTATATATGTCATATTCAGTTTTGAGAGTGTGGTAAACCATGTTTTATCTTTGCAATCATAAATTCTTTTTACATTTTGTTTTTCTTTGAATACTACAGATAGTATTTGTCATATTATCTGTAGTGTTTGTAGTTGAATAGTGTTATATTGTTATTATGTGTTAGGATTTGATCAATCCATGACGTGCACAAATGCATTCACAGTGGTCTTTAAAAGCAAATCCATTTTTCTCTCTAACAGCTTCTGTATCTGTTTTACTTTCCTCTCTTCAGTCCTTCCTGTACTTGGTCAACCTCCTCTCTTCTTCCCAGTCGGTGTGGGAGTTGCTGGGCCGGCAGCCTTTGGCCAACAAAAGCGAATACACCCTGAGGGAGATGCCAACCTCCATACCTGTAAGCGTTTTTTTTTTCTTCTTTTTTTCCCCACACACTGCAGTTCTTTTTTCATCCATCTGAGGGCATGTTTGCACTTTTTATTTGGCCTCCAAACACCACCCACACATTTGTTTTACTTCAAACGCATTCAAATAAACCCCCCTCACACTGAGACTGATATATGTTCTCCACCTTACACATTGTAAATTCCCACACTGTTTTCGTTTTGCACCCTAACTGCTGCATTCTTGTTCAAAGCCTCTCATTTTACTCCACAGGATTTGATTGACAGACTGATTGCCGTGAATTCGGATGTGAAGATTCATTCTCTCTTCCGCTACGAAGAGAGTCACACATTCGGCCTGAGGTGGGATTGATATTTTTTTTTTCATATTACTTAACATCAGTGGGGAAGCACACGATATCGGATTATCACCTGGTGACTGCACACACACTTCAGCCTCTGGCAATAGGAGACTGGCATGGTTCTTTATACTTTGATTACCCAGCATTGAAAGGCTGATGAAAGGATTTCTCTGGATAAGAGAGAAATAAGCTGGGCTGTGTGTGTGTGTCTGTGTGTGTGCTTGTGTATTTCTATGAGAGCAGTGTGAGAAGGGTGGTGAAGGAGTTGAAGAAATTTATATAAAACGAAAAGGTGTTTCAGATTTGATTTTAGTTTTAAGGTTCAAAGTAGAGATTGGCTTGCAGTAAAGGCTGAAGTTAATACTGAAATACTGAGCTGAGAGGATTTAATAATGCCAGAGAAAATCTGCATTTTGGATCTTATGGGCTAGGTGTGCATTACAACAAAGATGTGTTGTAAATGTGTGTGAGGAGAAATAAAGCAGTGTGTCTGAGCTAAAGAATGCTTTGGTCGTTACATACCCTGGTACATGCGTGTCTTTGCACAGTCCTCCGATGGCAGCTGTGCATCCCTTTTCCTTTTTAAAAGCTTTGTGAATCACAATAGCTTCAGCTTGTTTGGAGTTTCGCTGACTCACTCTGTCTGTGCCTGTCACTCAGCCCACTCCTGCTAACATCCTGAAGCAAACTGAAAGGAACAAGATGCTCTGTTCATTTACCACCTGGACTGATGGAGTAACTGACAAACTCTGTGCTCTTCAGTGGCTTGCTAAATTTGGTAAATATAGCCCTTTGCCTATAATCTGCCATGCTATTATTTAGTTACTAGAGTACTTGCTTTAAATCAGTGACTCTCAAACGTTTTCTCGTCTGCCCTACTGCAGAAGCTAAAAAACTTCAAGGCTTTTAATCAGTGAGCCAAAAGAATACATGTAAATGGTAAATAGTCTGGTTCTTATATAGTCCTTTTCTACTCTACTCTACAACTCATTCACCCATTCACGCAAACAGTTCTATACTTTCTATGCATTGCAACTTGGAGTTAGTATCTCGCCCAAGAATATTTTTGCCTGCAAAGTGGAGCAGCCAGGGTTTGAACCATTAACCTTCCAATTAATAGATTAACTGCTCTCCCTCCTGCAATAAAGCCAGCCATGTAGTAATATGTGTAGTATTGAAGTTTAATTTAAGTAAAATAATATCCAGGATTATAGTTATTTAAGCTGCTTTCACTTCAAATTTCTGCTCTGCTCCACTTTTGGGGCCTCCCCCACAGTTTGAGAACCACTGCCTTAACCAAGCAACATCTGGAAAAATGTCCTATGTTATTTTGTGCGCCTAAAGAGAGCAAGCTCAGTGTTCTTTGAAGTTATGCTCATTAATTGTTAATTAATTGTAAATGTTTGCTTGAGAAATTTGGACAGTAAAAAAAATCGATTCAATCATCAAAATATCTCTAATATAGGAAGTAAAGGCATCTTAGGTAGTAAAGGTTTAAAATATACACACACACACGCACACACAAACAATTGAACCCAGAAGGCTCATTACTAACACATCATCACCTACAATGTGACTGCTTCTGTTTTCATTCGATCTTCTGATTATCCTTTGCCTGAAGGGATATGACAGCGTGGTACATGAATTGTGCTTTATTGATCCCAGAGGGGAAAATTGCATCACTAAAGCAGCATTTACACAGGAGGACACTCCTCTGATTAATAAAAAAAAAAGTGTATCAAAGACAGAAAAAAGTAAGAATAAGAAGCATAAAAAGTGGCAGATGAGCATAAAAAAAAGTTTTATTATTTTATTACTATTGTTAGGGCAAAATATATTTAATACAGATATAGTGCAGTATACACATTATTTATGTATAAAATACATGTGAAAATGTCAGCAAAAGCATGTGAGAGGCATTTGAGATAAACAGAATAAAACCATGTGTGAATAAGGGAGAGAGTGAGCTTTTGATAGTCATTATGTAAATGCAGTCTTTTTAGAATTTCCATTTAACAGAAGAATACATATATTATATAAAGTGTTTTCGAATGTCTTCTGGTCATGTCATTGCAATGGCTGATTTTCTTACATCATTAAGTTCTGATCAGTAAAGAAGCAGAAATGACAGCTCAAGTTTTATGTGATATCATGTAGTGTGGTTTGGTTAGATTTAACTGATAGTGGCTTAGCAGCAGTTAATCTACAGCTACGACTGCATGAGATCACAAACTGACACCTGTTTGCTTCAAAGCTGCTGGAAAAAAACATTTATCTCATTAAAATGGGTTTATATAGGATTTTTGTTAGTTACAGTAGTTTCATATTAATGGAGAGAAAGATGATATCAACAAAAAAATTTAAATAAAAATGTTATTATCATTGAGAGAAATCAATATTTGATCCCCAAGCAAAACATGATTTAGTACTTGGTGAAGATACCCTTGTTGGCAAGCACAGCAGTAAGATGTTTTCTTATATTTGGTCAACAGGTTTGCACACATCTCAGTAGGGATTTTGGCCCACTTCTCTTTACAGAAACTCTGTACCGGTAAATCCTTTAGGTTTCTTTGCCATTCCATGACCTTAATGACTTTGTTTTTGAACTCCTTTCTTGCCTTGGCGGTATATTTTGGGTCATTGTCATGCTTCAAGACCAATTAATGACCCATCTTCAGTGTTCAGGCTGGGAGAATGAGGTTCTCATCCATAATTTTTCAGTACATGGCCCAGCCAACTGGCTTCTCAATGCAGTGAAGTAGTTCTGTGCTCTTAACACAAAGCAGTCCTAAAGCATAATGTTTCCACCTCCGTGCTTGACTTTGGGGATGGTGTTCTTTGGGTCACAATCAGCATTTCTCTTTCAACTCCACGGATCGAGTTGATGCCAGAGAGCTCAATTATGTTTTCATCTGACTGCAGCACATCCTCCCAAGCCTTCTCTGAATCATTTAGATGTTCACTGACAAACTTAAGGCAGACCTGTACACATGCTTCCTTGATCAGGAGCACACAGTCAGTGTTGCAAGATTTCAATAGTGTATTACAAATGGAGCTACAGACCAAGAGTAATTTAAAGTTGATTTATGTTTTTTTCCATTTTCAAATAATCACACCAACAGTTGTCACCTTCTCACATGCTGTAGGTCTTGTAGCCCATTCCAGCCTTATACAGGCCTTGTCCCTGATGTTTTTTTTGAGCCACTCTTTGGTCTTGGTGGAGAGGTTGGCATGGAAGAAATTGATTCTGTCGAGTTAAGAAGCGAGTTAAGATCAGGAGTATCTGTGATTGATTGGTTGTAATTCATGTGCTACATGGCCACACAGCCAGTCTGGAGCCAGAATTTTGTCTGGGTTGTAGGGGATCAAACATATATCTAATTCAGTGACATGCTCAATCAATTTGTAACTTTGATGTAATGTGTTTTTTCTAGCTTTTTGTTGATATTCTGTTTTGATCTATTAAAATGAAACTACCATACAAATTATGTCATTCCTTTGTAGGTGAGCAAACGTACAAATTCATCAGAGGATTACATAAATACTCACTGTCACTGTACATAAAGGTAAATAAACATGGGCTATAAGCACCAGAATCCAGCAAGCTGAGTCAGGCTGATGCCACTACAACAGAGCTGATGGCAGCTGGATGGGAAGGGCTCCTGTTATAGTCACTGCTACAACGCAGAAAGAGCAACCTTTTGTTGCTGTAGAGAGGAGATATAGACCATACTACAGCTGTTTAGAACACACATCTGTCACAGAAATTAGGGGCAGGCGCCAGTGCATCATGCGGGTATCTGAAAGTTGTCCTTATATATATATTGGCTTACATTGTTACTGACACACTAAGTCTGGGGTGACAAACCCATATTATTTTATAGGCACCATGCAGCTCAGGTGTGCTGGATGAATAAAATCACTGCAAACCATAATAAAAGGTTTAATTTATTTTGCTATTAGCAGATAATAAAAGCACCTTCTGAAAATATTCCAATTTAATGATCCATGCATTTACAAATCATGTTCAAGCCCAGGCAGAAATATATCTTATTAAAGGGGTCCATAAAATAAACAAAAGCAAAATAGAACATATTTATGATAAAAAAAAAAAACATTTTTTAAAAAATATGTTTCTATATGTTCATATTAGACGTTCTCAAACCTTTAGTGTTTAGCATGGAGTTGATTACTTGCCCAATTACTGTGTGGTGGACAACAACGCCCCCTGCAGTGTAAAGATAATTAAGCTCTGCAGGCTATTCTGAAAAATAAAAAAACTAGTGACATGTACATTAATTCACAACACGATTAATTAGCATATTATGCATGTTATGTATTGTTTATGCACTTGTGAATGTCCCTAAGTGTGTATTTCCCATTAGCTGCAGGCAGTTCGTCATAGCATTAAGTTATATAATTACTGGTTTTGCCACCTTTATCTTTTTTCTGTGACTCTTTACAAGGAAGCTATTAGATTCCCTCCAGATATCCAAGGCAAATTTCTTGTTAAAATTTTAATCCTTAAAAGCCTTTGTTGTCATGGCTGGATTATTAAAAAACAAGACTAACCCTCAGTCTAACATTCATACACGATGTGCACTGGTTGTGTTTTTAATAATGTAGCTGCAATAATAGAGTTTTTTCTTTTTTTCAAACCACACAGCAGACTTTATGGGTTCTTCATTGTGGATAGTATTAGCTTTTCTATGCATCAGGTGCACCTGATGGTGTTTTATCTGCTCCAGGTAGCTTTTCTTGCATAAATAGAGTTACAAAATACAGCAATAAAAAGTTATGGACGACTGTCTAAAGCTCAAACTAGACATTTAGATGTTTTGTTTTTTCAATTTTGAGACGCACAGTTTTATTTTGTTTCCTCTCAATTAAAGAAAAACAGACAACCGGGCAAACAACTGGCTGTCTGATTTAAAAAAAAAAAAAGTTAAATAGATATCCCGAAAGAACATTCACTTAATTTTGTTCTGAGCTCGTTATCAA